GGCATAGCTCTCAGAGGATGCCCCTCTGGTTATGCTGTATTGTGCTCGTAAGGTATGTTAGCTTTACTTCATTTCTGTGGTTGTATTCAAGAGACTTTAGTTAGTTTGTTAAAACTCAGCTATAATTATTCTTATGTTTTACAGAATGTAACTCATTCCCATTTTTCGACAGTACYGTTTTGAGATACAGTTGTTTAGTATATTGCTTTAGTGCATTTATTAGTTCTCGCTATGAATCAGATTTAGCTTTCAATTAGCTTTTACACTTACTTTTTCTGATAATGGTCTCTGGGCAACCATTGCCATTACTGAATATTTGTAATTAGTTCTATTGTTAATGTGTTTTTAGGTTTTTGTGTAATAAACATTGTTATAAGACCACTCCTTGCATCCTTAGTCGAATGCACTGCTCACGCGGTCCCGACCCGCGGCAGTCGCGTTGCCTGCGTCGATTGTCGCCGGTTACACTAGTACACTGGAACGCTAGTACACCTACTAGTACGCTTGGATGCTAGTATGTTAGTACGCTAGAACGCTAGTATGCTAGTACACTAGAACACAAGAACGCTAGATAGATAGATAGAGCGTTTATTATTAAAAATATTAACACCTAGCAGTCTTCCGACTGAATTACGTGCAATAAAAATATACTATAATAATTTTATCTATAAATAAAAGATTTCGTAAATACAATTAAACTTATAAATAGTGTAAAATATGAAGCTAAAATATAAGAAGCAATATCYTCCTTATACTCAAAATTTGGGAATACATCAATTCAATAAAGATGACTAATGATAAAAGATTTCTTATAATGGTCTGTCTTACATATTGGTATTTTGAATGTTCTATTGTTCCTCAGTTTTCTGCATTCAGACCTTGGTGGGAGCAGACTGACTTATTTGTGATCTTTGTTATGCAAGATCGCATTAAATAAATTAGAAGAAAGTGACTCTTGTCTGTCATATAAATTATCAATATTGTCTATCTTTAGAGCATCACGGTACTTATGTTCTGGCAAAATAATGCGCAGGGCGCATTTTGAATGCTCTCAAGATATTCAGACAAATATTGTGGAAGGCTTCGATGAAAGAGCACGCAAGCATACTCAACAACTGATCTTATTGCACTACAATAAAATGACACAAGGTCTTCACAACTGACTCCATCTCCCTTTAACTTTCTTAACAAATATAAGCACTTTGCAGCTTTAGAAGTGATATTATCAATATGATCGATCCATTTCAAGTCCTGTCTAATAGTTACTCCTAAAACCTTTGGGGTTCTGACCTGCTCAAACTCCAACCCATCTAAACTCTCAGGCGCATAAGATAGGGGTGACCTCTTGAAGCATGTGTGAAGTTCCTTACACTTGCTGGGGTTTAACTGGAGATGGTTTTCCTTGTACTCCTAAGTCCCCATAGTTCATAAAACAGACACAAGGTATGGGGTGAGCGGTCTAAGCCCATAAACAATTTATTCGAAAAACACAACCTAAAATTACAAATATTACCACACAGAACTCACACACTCCTATGAAAACTAAGCAAAAGGAACTTAGACCACAATGATTGAATTTAATTTCAACTTGACCTTATAAACAACACACTAATTACCATACAATCACATGCACTGGTGTCCAGTCCTACGTCGCTAAGGAAATTATTTCTCTCTCCACTCACACTCACTACGTTCGTAACCGTTACAAGATAAATACATTTCTTCAGACCATAATCTGATTTCTTCTACAGCTTGCTGGAGTGAGCTTTGGCATGGCATCTGTATGATCTCTGAAACAGTCATGTCATCTGCGAACTTCCAAATGTAAAACAATTCATCAGATACTAACTTCAGATCGTTTATCATACAACAAACAACCAAGGGCCCAATCGGGTGCCCTGAGGGACTCCAGCGGGCACATGCATCCAACTTGACCTAGTTTCGTTTATCTTGACTCTTGGCTGCCTGTCTCTTAAAAAATCAACTATCCAGTTCACAACGGTTGGCTTGATGCCCAAGCTATAAAGCTTAGCGATTAATACATGGTGGCCGACCAAGTCAAATGCCTTTTGGAAGTCTAATAATGCAGTTCTTATTGCTGCACCAGTCGAGTCTGTAGTACCCGGCCAGGTGTGGAACACAGAAATCAGGGCATGGGTAGTAGAAGAGCCTGGAATAAACCCATACTGGCAGGGGTCAATCGTTGACACAACAACTGGTTTAAGCTCTTGCTCAATGATGAAACTGCGACTTTCAAATGGGTTGCTGTTAGCGGGATTAGTCGTAAATCTTTGTTGTAATCACAGATGGTGCGTGACTTGGGAATTGGTGGTACATCTGCTATTTTCCAAACTTTGGGCAAACATTTATATTCTCCGCCAAAACTGATTCCTCACAGTTCAGATCTTGATGGAGCATTGAAGTCAGGTCTCGTCCAGTTGTTTGGAAAATGTCCAAGACTAGCCCTCTTGCTGGGTCGCTTAATGCCTGCCTTAATGATCTTGCACTTGAGCTGAGAGTTCTTGTCTCGAACACTAGCCTCTGTAAACACTGTATGGTGGTCTGACAGTCCAATTGGAGACAATCTGCTAGGGGGAGCGTAAAACGATGAGATGTTAGTAAAAATCTGATCAAGTGTTTTATCATTTTGGGAATGTAACCATAGGAGACAGGTGAAATGGTCTAAAGGCTCTCTTCAATATCGGTAAGAGTGTCCGGTTAAAATGCCCAGCCAAAATAATAGCACAATTTGGATACTTTGATTCYAAGCTTTCCAAGGAAGATAGAAGATACTCCTTCATATAGTCATAGACCATGCCCACAATTAGGTTGGAGAAGGTGCGCGGTAACCGCCTGGGTTTAATATCAACCCAGAGAACCTCATGGTCATCATTTTGTAGATCAGATAATATATTACACTGCATAGAGTTCCTGACGTACATACACGTACCACCGTGCTCCCAGCCCACGTGATCGCGCCTAAAGAGCTGAAAACCATTTAAATTAAAAAAATCATTTTGGTACTGACTCGTTCAGCCAAGCTTCGGTGAAGAGACAGGTATCTGCACGGGTGGTATCCATAGTAACACTAATTTTGTCTAGCTTTGGAGCCAGTGACATGGTGTTTGACAGCAGAACCGAAGGAACAAAATGTYGCCTCTCCTGGGAACAGGATGGAGATGAYGCAATCCAGCTCGTTTGGTGATGATCTTGGTGAGGTGCCAACTTGAATATTTAATAAGTTYACCATAAGATCTTTTGGAATTTGCTCCTTTGCTGTTTCTATATCAGCTTTAGGTTCCCTGTAAGTAAGAGTAGAAGTTGCATTAGGCTTTCCAAGGTTCTCTCGTAATTTAGAGTGAGCACCGCTGCACTTTCCTCTGGATGGTTGAAGAATGCCACTTGACTTAAGCTTGTTCCACGGAGTAGGCACGACTGGTTTGGTTTTATGAGCCAACTCTTTCCACCAGTATCTCACAGAAARCAAAAAAGATTGACTATAACTGATAGTCATGTTATAAGAAGCAATATTTCCAAATCCRAGCAAAGAAGGTGGATTTTTGAAGTTAAAATWGTAGAATTTCGTGGAGCCTAATTCAGGGCAGCCAACTGGTGMCAGTTCAAAACAAAAACTAAGATGCTAGAACACTAGTACGCAAGTACGCTARTACGGTGGTATSGTAGAACAGAAGTACGCTAGTACGCTAGAAYGCTAGAACRCTAGTACACTAGAAYGCTAGTACRCAAGTACGATAGTRCGATAGAATGCTATAACAGTGTTACTCTAGAAYGCTAATAGGCTAGTAGGCTTGTATGCAAGTACGCTAATAATGTCATGATTACTAGCAATAGAACAACGAATAGAGGCAAAATCTTCAACATTCAAACAAAAAAGAAAGCACCCTTTACGCACCCAATGAACATAATAAAGTATGATAGACGTAAGAATATTAGACGTCATACCATGAGAAAAACAAGGAAAAGGAAAGGATAAAACACTCATCATATGTGCCATTGAAAATGAGTTTTTGTGGTTTTGGAGTGACTATACCAGCTCTGTACAGTCAAGAACTTCAATGGAAAGCAATCAAAGTTTAGAATTGTCATTTTTGTAACACAGCTAATGTGGAGTTTTATAGTAAGTTACAATGCATTGTGGTCTTGGAATGCACTATGCAGTAACACAGTATTCAGTATTCAATGTTTTCTGAAATAGCAGTATACATTATCAAAAAAATGACACAAGTAATATCAATAATGTTGGATGATGCTGAGCATGATATGAAAAATTATACAGGCTGTATCTGCAGATATAGACTCCTTCAGCCTCATTACTTATTCATGAGCATCATAAGACAATAATAAACATAACACTTTCAAACAATATTATTGGTTGAGGTTGAGCATGATAAAAAGAACTATGCAGCCTGATCTGCAGATATGGACTTCTTCATGCTAGTTATATTTCATTGTCTGGCCTCATTTATTATTTCACAAATAGAAGAGGCTTCATCATGCTCTGTTTAGAAATAAAATTGTAGAGTACACTGGAAAGTGACGAGAGCACAAAGAAGTGAATATATTTCTCCTCATTTCTTGAGCACTCTCTTCATTTTCCAGTAGGATGCTCTATTACTGAATGGAGTACCGCAAAGCTTCCTTAACTTGTTTTATTATACACTGCGCGAAAGGATTGACTACGAATGGCTATGTTGTGCACATGTGTGCTCTATTTATTAATAGAACACAGTTCTCAGCTAATCAAATTGTGTGTAGTACCTTGAGTACATATAATGATCATGAGTAGATTAACTACAGTATGGTTATAGTAATTCACCTTCAAATGTTCATGTATTTCTTTTATAAGCTGTTCATTTTCAGAAGAATTGTTGGTAATACTTCTTACATGATTTGTAATCTTCATTAAAATATTTAGAACAAACTCGCAGACCTTTAAAAACAATTGGTCAAATCATATCAATTTATGTGCTCAAGTAAAGGAATCAAAGAAGAAACAAGAATTAACAATATAATTGAGTGTTACTCACTTTTGGAACAACTCTTGTTAAATATAATGCCTCAACTTCAAATAATGAGATGTTCGGAAGAACTTCAAGTGTCAAAGATGTCAAAAACTCTACGAAATACAAATACAGTGTGTGCTAGTCAAATAAATACTCCTTTTCACAGGTACCATCACCATCTTGAAAGGGACCTGTCCCTTTGCATAAGATGGCAGCTGAGCTTGCAATGAGAGATACCTATAAATAATAAGCAATACTCTATTTTCCAGTACCCAGTGCCATCTGAAAGGTATCTGAGCCTTTGCAATGAAGCACGACAACAGTCAAGTTTGCAGTAAAATAGATATCTTAAGTGTGAAGTAATAGACCAATCCCACATTCGCTTGGATGAACACAAATCAATGGCTTCATTTTGAAGCTGGAGTTTTCGACAAAAGATAAAACTCCAGTCTTGACTTGAAGCCATTGTTTTGTGTTCATCCAAGTGAGTGTGGGATAAGTCAGACTATAGATCAAACGTGAGTACGAGTGTTTGATAGATGTATCAAAACACTAAGATGTGGGTTGAAAGAAAATGAGGTGTAGCCAAGTCTTTTTAGCCCATGTTGAGATGTTTTGATTTTTTGATCAAACATAAGTGAAGATGTTTGATTGAACTTCTCAAAGTCATGGATAATTATTATATAAATTCGAAGCAAAAGTTGGTTAATTTATGAAAATGTTTTATCAGTGTATCAAGACAGTAGTGGTTTTTCTTGGTTTTATACTCATTAATTGTTCATGAATTTGAGAAGAAAAAATATCTATCACTGCAAACTTGACTGTGGTCTATGCTTCACTGCAAAGGTTTAGTTACCTTTTAGAGTAGAGAATAGAGTATTGCTGGTTTTCAGTTGACATCACAGCAGCCATATTGGTGGTACTTCAACAAAAGATTCCTCATTAGTGTCTGCTGTTCATACCATCAATGTGGCCACAAATCTTTTGTCTTTTAAATCTCAAGGGAATGATTGAAAGCCAGCAATTGATGAATGAATGAGCATTAGGAACTTGAAATATTTGAAACAGCTGATATTTTTACAAACTTACATAATTTGTCATCCTCGGTAGAAACTTTTTAATAATTATTTCATATATAACGCTATTTAATATTGCTATCAATTTTATGTAGTTGTTAATCACAAGCATAATATGTTTGAGTAAACATATTTTCAAAAACATTGAAATCATTTAAAGTGGCATGTTAGAATTGATTTTGGAACTTTACTGAATTTTCAAAAATAAATGGTAGCCTCAAATTAGTCACGATTCCTTTGCTATTTCAGCAAAATGTTTTGTAATCAGTCTGGGATATAGCCAGAACTGAAGGAACATCATCACGTGACGTTCCTATTATTCTAGCAAAAGTACAGGAAAATTGGACAAAAAATATTGGGCAAAGAAGTACTTAGATTTTGCTGCCTAGGGGCAATCATCCGGGACTTTGGTACTTTCTCGTGGTGTTTTAGCTAAAGGAGTGTTTACTTATAAACGATTTTTGGAAGACCCAGTTTTACTTAGTAGCCATCTTGGATTAGATTGAAGAGCCAGGTAGGTCATATTCATGTTAGTTTTTAACTCTTTTAGCTATTGTTTGGCTCTTTGAAAGTATTTGTAAATGATTTCGTAATTAACAAAGCTTCGATTTGCGAAATACTTATTGTTTAGTTGGCAACTTCTTTCAAAGTAAGGCTCCTGTTGGCGTGTTCACCTTTGGAATTACTGAAGAATCGTGAAATGTGTGCTTGTGCATTTGCAGTGAACTATTTATTGAATAAAACGGGCATTTTAGTCACTGGATCTGACTTAATGTTGAGTTCCCACCTCTGATCAGCTTATCAATTCCCAGCAATATCATATGAAACGGTATTATGAGTACTGAGGTGCCAGAAAATGCTTAATAATCAAGCTTATATCTCATACTGCAATGTGATTCTGTTATTCTAAAACTTTCAAAGGACACTGAAAAGGTCTTCTAGCTAACATTCATTGAAATGATCAGTTGTTTATCTTGTAGTAATTTACTAAAAATAAATTTCAATACTAAATTATAAGCTGATAAGCTTAATTGTTTCATGTAGTTGTTGTCATCATTATCAAAAGCACTAATCTTACATATAAGATTAAGATTAATGACATGATATTTACTTGTATTTTTAGGTGTTATGGAGAACCACGTAGCTGTGTTAAAAAAATCTTGTAGAAAATGTGGTTTTTGAGTAAACAAGACTATAACTACAAGCCATATCAAGCTCAGATAAGAGATGTGACTGGAGTGTAAATATTTTTTCAGACTCCAAGAACTGTCACCCTACAAATATATGTTCCCACTGTAGATCTATTTGCTGCTGTTGAGTGGACAACACACATACAGGATTGCTATATATGTGAACACTACCCCAACACTCTAAGCCGAGGACAGCAGAGAAAATATGAAAAGAATGCTAAACAGACAGTGCAAGCTACAACACAAGCTACAGAAAACAAAGACTTAGCAGCACTGAAAGCAATGACTCAGACTTTGACTCAAACAATGATTGGTACTCAAAATGCTGCACTTTTTTCATGGATTCAGTTCCCGAGTCTTGCGCCAAGATTCAAAACAGTGATGTCGAGGTAATAATTGAGAAGCTGCTTGAGTCTCATGGTGTTAGTTCATTTATAAATGCATATCATAAGCAAATAGACAGGAAAACAGTGGCTATGCAGCTTGTTGCAAAGGACCCAAATCTTTATGTTCTGGATGCCAATAATTGTGATCAATTTGTTTCTATCTTACCAGAAAACACAAGGAAAGCCATTGCCAAATCATTATTTGCATCCGAAAGATTATCAGTCTCTGAGGATAGTCTCAGCTAATCATGAAAAGGTTGTCCACCCTACAGCTCAATCGATATTGGAAAATAGTGTCTGTTTCAAGTGGAAAGACTTTTCAAGATTGGCTATATGACATGCATCCTTAACTCCTCTGCTTATTATTTTATTTTCACCAATTAAATCAGGAAATTCTTTTACCAAAACAAGCATGAATAGTTATTATATATATAGTTTTCCCAGGTGGTACTATAGGGACACCATGTAATGTTTTTAGTTTTAATGTGTTTCAGTTAGCTGATGACAAGGCAGATAAAAAGAAGAGAATGTATGGTGGCCCACAAGGACAAGACACAAATCAATTTATGAGTAAAGACAAAAGAAAATTTGCAGTAAGAGAATAAGATTCCATAATGCAAAACCAACTTTTGTAACACAAAATAAAGTTTCACTGCACACAATAAAGTTTATTACAACACAGCAAAGTTTTGTGAAACACAATAAAGTTTCATACAACACAACAAAGGTTTATAAAAAAAAAAAAGTTTTGTGATTTAGGTCAAAATTTTCTAGCACAAAATAAAGATTAAATGAGCAAAATACAGTTTCTGAAACAGTTCGAATGGGCTTACCATAGTATCTCACATGACTGACATTATAAGTCATGTGACATGTGACATAAAGCACATGGTTATTCCAGTTCTGTACTGAAAGACATGTTTTGTCAGAACTGTGGGGCATGGCTTGCCAAAAAGTACAAGTTTTGCCCAAGCTGTGGGATTAGCTCTACCGAGGTTAGCTCTACCGAGAGTAAAACAAGGTAAAGGGTCAGAGGCCAAGGAAAAAGTAAGAAGCGAAAGATCACAGAGGCTGAAGCTGTCACTATGAACGTCAGGAATTTTCAAGCCCTGTAGAGCAAAGACTTTACCTCTCAAAGTTACAAAAGCTGCATCTGCCAAACTTTTACTAGGGAAAGCTTTAAAGAAAAGAGCGGCTTATAATCGATCTTTCAGGAATGATTTGATGTACATGCAAGCTATGTTATTATCCCGATGGGACTGAGGTTGTTTATCTTCCCGGAGGCAAAGAACCATTTACTCTCAAAAAATACAAAGATGATCTGGGACGAAATTATAGTCGTATCAACCTTTTTCTTTTGCCCTTGAAAGAGGAGGAACCAGCAGAAGAGTAGTCAGGTTGTGTTATAGTAAACAAGGATGATGACGATGATGACGAAGATTACTTTGACCTTCAGGAATCCATGTTTGGTTTGTTGATTGATGAAGGTGATGTGTCATTCATAAACATAAGCAGTTGGTTAGTAATTATTGAAATGCTATATAACTAAGGCTGCATTCAGGGGGGGGGGAGGAAATTTTGCTAGAAGGTACAAAATTTTTGGATCCCCCCAAAATCTTGGCAGTAATTTTCATATCCCCCCTAACTTTGTTCGACCAAAAATTAACCCCCCCCCCCCCCTTCCCACGTCCAATATAAAAAAAGAAATAAAAAATGGGAAACAAATTTAATACATTTAATAAGTAAACAAGTGTTTTATGGCTAACATCTTCAATCTTAAGCCTAGATTTCATCTCGAAGCACTGAAATACCTAAGCTATAGCATCAATGTATTTTCTGGTCATGCTCTTCTACTAGTCCAGCATGCAATACTAAAGCTTATGGGAAATCCTGTTGATGCAGTTGATATTATAGAGTGTGATGAATATACTTCTTGCAGCAGCAACAATGATGAAAGTGATGGTCAATCTCTTTCACCCTGGTTCAAGAGGCTTGTCTTTTATTCCTTTGCTTACTATGTTGTCGAGCTGCAAAGCGGCGAGACATTTCCGTTAATCGGTTTGTTTTTAATTGCTTAACTGAGACAATTTTAATCAGTGTAAAATAGTTTTTAGTCTAGTGTTACAGTTCTAATAAAGAGATATTTTCTACCATTATAGACATTTCAGCTTTCATTGACAAACACTTAATTCAAAAATCAGCATCCCCCTTTTATGTATGGCCAAAAAATTTGACATCCCCCCTTTTCCAGTTCCTAAATTTTCAGATCCCCCCTAAATTTCCTCTGCACCACCCTGGGCCGGGTTGTTCAAAGCCCGATTAGCACTAATCCTGGGTTAACTCTTAGAAAACATATGGAGTTAACCCTGGATTAATGCTAATTGGGCTTTGAACAACCTGGCCCTGCAGTATACATAATGAATGCAGCCTAAGACATTTTAAAGTGATGAAAACAAGCCAA